TAAGAAGATGTTGGATAGCCATTTGTCTGAAATGGTATAGGGTTTCCTGCCTAGGCAGGGGGTTGGACTAGAAGACCTCCAAGGTCCGTTCCAACCCTGCTATTGTATTGTATTGTATTATATTGTATTGTAATAAATATATAAATAAATGCATTCTATAAAAGGAAGAATGTTTAGAGTAGGGACCCATTCTTGTAACTATGATCCTTAATTATTGTTTAGATAGTAAAATATAATAATGGCTACTTTTCTATAAAAGATTTCAGAACAGTGTATTGACACATGAGCATAGAAGTCAGTAGAAATTTAATGCTATCTTAGGTATCCTTCAGATGTCAGATATGGGGGACATAATGAAATTATTATAATACCTACCCAGTTAATCCTAAATAAATATATTAAGTATCACGGGGACAGTGAAGACTAATCACTATTTTTATTAACTGAGAAGAACAAACTTCACTGGGGTCTCTATTCAGGGGTAGGCTTCAAAAATTTCAGCAAAGGGTTCTCTGCCCAGTTGCTAGGTGGGCGTGGCCATGGTGCGTGTAGCCTAGTCAGCCTCCTGCACCATGGTGGGGGCCCATTTTCTATCCCAGGCTCTGGAGGCTTTTCTCGAGTCTGAGAGGGCAAAAACTGCCTCCTCAGGCTCCAGAGGCCTTCTGGGAGGCCCATTTCTCCCCTTCCTGAGCCTCCATGTGGGCCTTGCACTTACTTCGCATCCATCATGTGGAGACTCCTGGGAGGGGAGGGGTCAGCCGGGGGGGGGGGATTTGGAGGTTCTCCAAACTGGCCATAATATTAGTTATGGGTTTTTCTGAACCTGGGCAAAACCATAGCAGCCCACTCCTTTTGAGTTCTGAGGCATCAATAACTGTGGAGGCAGCAATTCACTTAAACGTTTATTAACGATAACAACTAAACTGACAGAACCGCACAAACCCTGTCTTACAGCTATTTATACTTGTAGCTGTCAGATGGGAAACCAATGGGAGAGCTGTATTTGTTCCGCTGGCCGGCAGGCACGTCTGGACCAATCAGGGGCTTTTCCTTAGACGCCACCTGCCGGCTGTGTCTGATAGAACACAACAACTCCTGTCTCTATTGATGAAATGTTTACTTAGGAATTAAAAAAGCAATTCTTTTCAGTTCAGATATCTCATTCCATTTGCCATTTGGCCAGGCATTAAAATGCAGAAGGATGTCTCCAATGGTGGGAAATATAATTAAGCAGGAAAAAGGACACAAGCAGCAGATTAGGGCTTAGTATTCTTTGAAACATTCTGGATATGTCTGTCTCTTTTTGAAATTTAACAGCGCTTGCTATTTGGGTGGTAGCAGCTACTCTAGAGAAAGGAAGCTCTGGAATGCATCAAGGTCATAATTATACATAAATAATTGCTCTCATTGTGTGCTTCTGGCTGAAATGATCGAAAGCAACTGTGTGTGCTCTTACTGCTGTGCGTCTTTTTACCAGATCAGGGCTGGAAACAAAGAATTTGTGCAGTTTGGAAGGAATGACTACCCTTTTTAAAATGGGTACGTCTGATAGTTGGATCCCAGTCTTCACTATCAGTTTTACAGAAGACCATGTGAAACACCTCCAATACAGTCTATAAATCAGATAATTTAATAAGGTGGTTACCAACCAATCTAGCTTTTAAATCATATTTATTTTTGCAA